GCGTATATGTGGGTGAGATAACGGTTGACCTTAGATTTTAAAAGGATAAGATTGTAGTGATTCAGGAAGCATCTTCTTGAGTGTCGGTTACCGTAATGGTAATGGACTCTCCCTGTTACAAATAAGAGCAGGTACTGCTTTTTATTGAGTGTAGTTTTCCAGCAGTCTGCTCTGAGAGTCGGACTCATCATTCTTGCTCGTTTGCATATGATTATATTACACCAATATGAAGAACAAAATCAGCGGGAAATAAAATGGCAAGAAAAATAACTGGGAATTCAAAATCAACAGGAACCGAAATGGTAAGAAAAAAGTTGGGAAACAAAATCAACGGGAATTAAATGGCAAGAAAAACAACTGGAACAGCAAAAAAGAATGGAACAATTCCAGTTGGATATGGAAAAAGAACGGCTTGAAATTCTAAAACAAACTGAAAAAGGAAAGGCTTGAACTTCAAAAGCGAATTGAAGAAAAAAGTCTCGCATTACAAAAAACAAAAATCAAACAACAAAAACTTGAAGGAACCTACCAAGCCGGAGAGAATTTTTTTCCGGATGTTTCGTGATGATAAATCTTTCTGGGAAATGAGTACAATTGAGAAAAGAGTAGGAAATATCATTTACATAATTAAAGGTCCACAGTTTATTCACAAGAGACATTTGAACTAAATCAGGAAACGCCTGTCGGACGATGCTGACAGCAGTCCTCCTGAAGAAAAAGAAGTAATGGATGTCATTTACAACACTTTTGACATGCCAATACCTCAAGCGGCCCCGGAGCAATGCCGTTTAAAAAGGAAAAGGAAAATGACGGAATTTATTGAGACTCCTGCGGAGTTAATACTTAGGAAGGCGTGATATGTTAATTTACCCAGGCACAGATAAGAGCAGGTACTGCTTTTTAAAGAGTGTAGTTTTTCTAGCAGTCAGTTCTGACAGTCGTTTGTGTATGATTTTATTACTGTTTTTCTGTTAATGTCAATTCTTCTCTCTGCTTCTTTATTTCTGGGCCCGACAAGGCCACAACAGTTACACAAAAGAAAAAACTGATCGAGTGGGACTTATTTCTCACCAATGGTATAGGAAATGAATGAGGGTGCTTTGCTATAATGTGCCTAGCACGGCAAGTCTTAGAAGCGAAAGTTAGAATGATGTTTATCTTGTAAAAGGGCCTAAGAGCCACTCAATGTAGAGGATTACAAAATAAGAATCACGGTTTATGCTGATATGTGGGTATGATAACGGTTGAACCTAGATTTTAACAGGATAAGATTGTAGTGATTCAAAAAGCATCTTAGGAAGCGTCGGTTACTGTTAAGGTAATGGACTCTCCCTGTTACAAATAAGAGCAGGTACTGCTTTTTAGTGAGTGTAGTTTTCCAGCAGTCTGTTCTGACAGTCGGACTTAACATTCTTGTTCGTGTGTATATGATTGTATTACTGATTTTCTCTTAATATATTTGTTTAACTCAATTCCTCTCGTTGTATCTTTATTTCTGGCCCCAAGAAGGCCACAGCAGTTACACAAAAGAAAAAGCTGCTAGAATTATTTCTCACCAATGATACAGGAATGGAATATGGGTGCTTTGCTACAATGTGCCTAGCACGGCAAGTCTTAGAAGTGAAGCTTAGAATATAGTTCGTTTCAGCACTTTCTACTGAAATGCTGTTAGGGCAGCGAGAGGCTTGGGATATTTCGTTTGTGGGAAAGGGGTTGTAGGGTGGAAGATAATTCGCCAGCCACAAGGACGCAGAGACGCTTTTGGACTCTATCAAGACTGGAAAGGGAAGACTAGGTAGCTCCAACCCATATATGGCAGCAATAATCCATTTTTCTCCTGATCTGGTCCTTTCAAAGATAGTAAATACCAGGAGTCTTACTTACTGGAGCGGTACTGGGAATCGACCATTTTTTCAGCATCTTTAGCAATGGAGAGTATTGAACTTTCTAGTTGAGCTCTGGGTTGAGGTAAAGTCCCAACAGGACCTCAAGGCACAGGGCTACTTGAGGGGGAAATCAGTTAATCGTGATTGGTGATAGTTCATCTCCTGATCGGAGATGATGAAATGTAAGTCGTTAGGTGTACGAGGCATTAAATGTAACCAATCAGTTTTCCCCTACTGGGCTGCTAGAATGAGAGACCGGCTGCCAATCTCTGAACGTCTACAGTTTGGGTGAATCATATATAGTTATTGTCAGCAGCGGCTAATGTTGGAAAATTTGCTCACAGATGAAGATTTACGAGACAAAAGTTGGTTGGTTGATTTTGTTTATCGGCATATAAACAACTATGCCTTATTTAATGCCGAAATATAAATAATTTAAAAAAAATTATGGCTTCAATTGATATATATATATATATATATATGTGTGTGTGTGTGTGTGTGTGTGTGTGTGTGTGTGCGTCTGTTTGTGGATGACAAAATATACACAATTTACTGTATTTAAAATTCGACCTTGCTAACCGACACCTCCTCTGTGGACAAATCGGTTAAAGGCACGTCAGGCTAAATGACAGTTCCGTATAGGATACAGGTTCGAATCCTCTCGGAGAACGAATATTTTCTATGAAAATTTCTCGGACATTAAGGCCGGTGAATGTTGTTAATACTGTTTATTATAAACAGAGCATTCACTTAAATATTTGAATCCATAAAAAGAATGTATAAACATAAAAATGTCTTAAAATAATTGTAGAACTTTATCCACTATATATATATATATATATATATATATATATATATATATATATACACACTTGTGAAATTAATTGAAACAGAATGAATAATGCCGTTATTATTTTCTTATTTTTCCAATGAAACATGAACCAGTGGACATGTAAGTATTTCGTATGTCTATTCTATGAAGGCGTTCCTTGCAGATTGACCAGAGATTCTCGATTGGATTTAAATCTAGAGAGTTTCCGGTCCAGTCTATAGTACATTGAATTTCTTATTGGTAAGACTTGTCAGTGTGTTCGTGCAGCGTTACAATTTTCATACGCTTCCTTGGAGTAACGTCCATCACAGACAATGGGTGTAGGACAATAAATCGACAGTCGAGAGAATAGTGTCTGGGCTTTATTAAAATCTGATAAAATCACGGAAGACGCAATATTTTGCAAAGCTAAACAAATTTCATCCCCCAAAAAAAAAACCCCCGAAAATAGATTCATATTACTGCACGGGACTGCAAATGACCTACCCTAAGGAAAAATAGAAATCTATTACATCCTGTCACTCCAGTGGGTACGTATGGTGAAAGAAAGGAAATTAAAGCTGCTGTTTCAATTAATATGCACAAGCGTGTATATGTATGTATTGCTAGTATTTTTACTATAAAAAATGTACATTCATACTTTCATCGTTTTGTTTTTTTTGTTTTTTTTGTTTTTTGTTTTTTTGAGGAGGAGGTCACGTTTTTCCCATAGCTCGAACACTAACTGGTACTACTACCCCACAAGTTCTATAGAAAAATGCTGAAAATGCTATCGATGGGACATCCGAAAAACAGGGAAGTTATTTTTGAAAATGGGGATAGAAATGTGCTTAAAATCAGAAAGTGAAGGTAACATTTCATCGATAAAAAATGAAGATAGATGGCTCATAGAGTAAGATACACACATATTGCATGGGTACCTCGGCGTGGTGTAAGGGTTAGCAAGCTTGTCTCGCTAAAACAGTTACGACTGAGTAGTGAGTTCGATTCTCACTGGGTGCCTCATACTTTCGGACTTGTGCCACATCAAAGGTACGCTTAGAAAATCTTTGGGCACCTCGGCGTGGTGTAATGGTTAGCAAGCTTGTCTTGCTAGATCAATTACTACTGAAAAGTGAGTTCGATCCTCACTGGATGCCCCATACTTTTGGTCTTGTGCCACATCTAAGCTACGCTTGGAAAATCTCTACACACATACTGCATTGAAGGCAGAAAGTGCCGCAATAAACTGCAATCTTCCTATTAATCTTATGGAAATTAATAGCATAACATGGACAAGGAGGGTTAATAAAATGAGGCATAATGCTAAGAGCTGCAAAAGATGAGAAGTTGTGGAGACACATCATCCGTGGTATGGTTATTAGGCTGGGATCGGTTTCTCCAGTTCGATAACATCAGGAAACTTCCTTCCTGAAAAAATCGACCATAGTGAGATTCGAACCCTGTTCTCACTGGTCAGAATACAATCGTTCTAACCACTCGGCCACGTGGCCATATATTCCTCGGGGGGTGGGTAGATTGTGATACTCCATATGCCATGACCCAATGCATAAAAGCGTTGGTTGTGTAATCCAAAAGTAACTTGGTCTAAGGAGTTGTGTGTTCAATACCTGGCCACGGCAGGGGAAACAAAAATTTGTAGAGTTACTAAAGGCAGGTAATTGAAACTGAGATTAAATTAAGACTAAATAAAGGGTTCGGTTCAATAATCCGAAGTATATAAACTGAAGAATATCAGAGCGTACAGCGGTCGAAACGTCGTGAATATGGCAATAAAAATGAGACCTAATGCTAAGAGCTGCAAAATAGAGGATGTTGTGGAGACACATAATCCCCAATATTCTGAAGGGTTGTATCACATAAAAGAAAAAGAAGAGTAAGAATTGAAGTATTGTCTTCACTTTTGCTTTACTAACATTTATAAAATGAAGATATTCTTTAACTTTTGAACCTTCATTATTCTATATATGATATCTGTTATTGACTTCATGAACACAGCGTTTCAGTGAATAAAGTCTTTGAACTTTCTAAAAATCTAGTATGGAGCATTTTCATTAATCTATATATTATTTGTCTTCGTCTTCGTCTTTTCCAATCTTTTGTCGCCATTCATTTTCCTTCAGGGGTCTCTGTATAAGGTTACTACGACGTTACTTTCATTTACTGAACTTTATTCACGGTCACATACGTGACTGTTTGTAAAGATCTCGTGTTCGCAGAGAGAACGCGATAAAAGGCTTGAGTGGATCAATCCAAGAACAGATTCCAATATCGGCCTTCTTATGCTTCCTCTTTATACCCTGAAATACGGTTCCTTTCAAAAGCGACTTCCAAGTAAAAAAATCTGAAGGAAGGTTACCCTAAAAGAAGCCTTTTGTTTTATAGCAAATAAAACCAATTCATAAAGATTCTTAATGACACCCACCGATAGCTAAGCCTTATACACGTCAGCCTGAAGCAACGATTGCCTTCCATAGATACTTTTCCTGTCATTTTTTTTATAACACAATATCATCTCAAAGAAGACAATAATGCCACTAAGACGCAAGAGGTTATCGGGAGTGAAAGAGAACATGATTTTAGAAGGAACCGGAAATGCAATCCAAAATGGAAACAAGAGATAAACATCTACTCCTATTCAAAAGACAGGGGAGGAGACATTAGAAGTATGCTTTGGAAAGAATCGGAAACCCATTCCTAAATAGGAACCAAGGGATTAGTATCTACTCCTGTTCAGAAGACAGGGGAGGAGATGTTAGAAGTATAGAGATGAAGTACACTTTAGAAGAAAGCGGAAACCCAATCCTAAACAGGCAACAAGGGATAAACCTCTACTCCTGTTCAAAAGACAGGGGAGAAGACGTTAGAAATATAGAGTCGAAATAGGACACCTACTCCTTTTCAGAGGAATGTGAACTGGTCGATAAACATAAACGATAAACATGTCTATATTTCAGTATTTTAAAGAAAACACAGTATCCATCAACAAAAATACGAGACTGTAGAAATGCCATGCCTGTTTTCCTTGACTTAAAACACAAAAGATTTGTAATAGTAAAATTAAAAATCTTCTCTCGCAGTAGTGGGCGATCAAAACTTTTTTCTTTAATTGCAACAACTGTAGTATTAGAATCATGTTAGAAAGTGTTTTCAGAGAGTTAAGTTTATACACGTCACACACGTGGTTATTTTGTGTCTCTGGGAACTTGCACCACAGTGTGTGGGGGGGGGGTGATAGAGCGAACACACTGGCTAGTTAAAAGTGTACATATCGACGTGCTTAATAAAGTAGTAAGTCGTAATTCCCTTTTATGGAAGTTCTCATTTTTCCTCCTAATAAAAGAACTAGCAATCACCCGTCCGTGAGAAGAAAAAGAGCGAGGGAAGAATGCAGCTTTGTCGTGGAACTGTTCCCGTCAACCAAAAGACCCCCCACCCACGAGAAGAGTTGGGGGGGTATACAACAGAATACTCATTACTCACAATGGATTTCATATTAGACTCACACAAAGCGTAAAAGAAATTAAATGCAAAAGTCTCAGTAATCCAAATCTTGTTCCCAACATAATCTTCTTATTCCATAGGACGGGAATAAAGAATACCTCTTCTGAATTTTGTAAGCTAGTAAAATTTCATTATCACAAACCAAACCTTGAATCTTCTCTAGTCATAACGAATAGTTCTACCCTCAATAAACTTCTTTGGCTGAGCATCTATCGGGACTCACGCTCATTCCAGACCTCAACTAGATTGATTGATTCGTCTTCTATGACTTATCAACCCGTTGTAGGTAAGTTAAAGCCAGAAAATATTCTAAGCTTATAAGTTTTTTGTAGATAATAATGGTTTAGTAATACAAGTCTTACTAATTAACCCATAGCTGGAAGGAAAAAAAAAACAATTTATATCTCAAAGAGATTTGCGGATAAATTTGCGAATACAAATAAAATTGACACTCAGCTCTCCGTTAACCAATTCCGATACCATTATCCATTAAACCATCCGGACATCTAAGCTAACTGCACCAGATATTTCCAAGTGGTAACCCATCTACTCATAGACTAGGCCCGACGTTTCTTAACTTCGGTGATCGTACCGGAAGATGTGTTTCAAAGTGATGCGGCCGTGAGCTCATATATAAGATGCATCCGTAAAGATGCTGCAAAAATAATGTTTCCGTACCACTCCAGAAAGTACCCCACGTAACCTATGTTTACGAGAGTCGGATCAGACCAAAAATAGTGTTTTGCTGACATATCTGGACTGAAATTGCACACTCTTCACATTCCAGCCTAGATAGAGTTCAAAATTATTACGCGAATTTTTGGCTGATGGATTATTTTTCGACACTTTTACCACAGAGCAAATGTTGCTAGCATCTCGATACTCTATCTGCTCGGCCCGGTGGCTAGGATCAAAGTGTAGTATCTGCGCTTTGTGAGCTGCCGGGTCGGGTGTCTGTCGAACTCTCTTCTTGCAGAGAGGAACCCGGACGAAGCTCCGCCGAAGGGTGGGGTTTCGTTCGGGGAGGTTGACGGAACTAGCCCGCTTGGACGGGTTTAGATGGGTTTTATTTTTGGCTGGGCCTACGGGCCCAGACATACCCACATTAAAAAGGCCTTGTGCCACATTCAATTCCTGTGGGTGAATTGATAAATACCATAAATACCATCTCGATACTCTATCGCTATTTGAATGGCAAATGTTCAGACAAACTATATTCCTTAATTCAATCAATACAGACCCGTCGTACCACGTACGCAAGATCGACTCATCTTTTGTATTCCTTTAGTAAGGAGCAAGTTCTACTTAAACTATTCACAACTGGGCCTATTAAAGGCAGAAACCGATGAATACCGCCCGGAATTGTCTAATCAGAAGTGTATTACTTTCGATCAGGACAAATCCAGACCCCGACGTCTCATTGCAAACTAGGAACAAAATTAATGCAGCTTAGCTAGGATATCATGCTACAGAAATCATATGCACTTGCGCTTGCTTCATCGGTTTATTTTGATTACTACAAAATTGTCTTAGTTGGGAAAAAGACTGAATTTTTGGCAAGCCTGTAAAAAAAACAAAAAAAAACCCCCAAAAATAGACTAATTCATCACCCAGAGAGACAGAAAGTGGTTTGAGGCTGGAATCATAAAATGCGTCAAAGATTGTGAGATGTTGCGAAACAAAACAGCACATACATGTTTGAATAAATTTATGTACAAATATCGAAATCTTGTATTTGAGACTCCCTTAAAAACCTCACGAACTTATGTCCGGACCCAATATACCTTCTTCTAATAAAAATGAAGCCATTAATATATCGCTAAATATTAGAAGATAGGTAGATCCTTCGAGACCCTGGTGGTCAATGCAATCGTCTCCGGAGTCACTTCTTGGACCAACACTTTTCTGATTTACGTAAACGATCAACCTAAGCTCCGATCATTTGTAAACATCTATGACGAAGATACGGCGATATACGTGGATGCCTCTATAAGTCTTGATGACCAGATATTGGCAGCTGACCACTCTTTGGATCTGACAGTAACTTCCCAGTGAGAAAAAGACGGGCTTGTTATATTCAATGTCTCTAAAATCAAACTTCACTGCCAATCAGACCCGGACTACCGCCAGTCACGATGAACGGCTGTCCCCTGATAGGATGTTGGGCCTCATACTCACACCCGACCTCAAGTAGAACTCCCATATACGATCCATTACTAAAAATGCACGTAAAATGATCGGCTCTCTGTACCGCTCCAATAAATCCTGACTGCTTATATATATATATATATATATATATATATATATATATATATATATATATATATATATATACATCTATCTACCTGTATAAGAGCCAGATCAGGCCGAGTACTCTTGCCATATTTGGACGGGAGATGACCAAACCTCACTTTCCACTCTTCATAGAGTTCAAAACCGTCTCCGAGTCCTTTTGGGTGACGAAATATTTTCCACCGACCAACTTCTCTCTCTCACAAATCTATATAATGTAATGTGTTAGGACGAACTACATTTCTTGTTACCGACAGGTTTAACCTTCACTTCTAGGACCCGCCAGTCTACTTACATAGTAGCAAGCCATCAAGATTCTCTCCGTATTTCACAGGCGTGAAGTAAGTTTCCCCTAGAACAGATTCTTCTCGCGAAGGACTGTCTTGTGGAACAGACTCCCAAGAAGATGTTTCCCCGATTACCACAATCTTAACCTCTTCAAGTCTATAGTTAACCGTTATTTTCCGCTTCTATTCACATAAACAACCTTTTAACGTAACTCTCTACCTCGAGTGGCTACCGGGCCTTGTGAGGGGCCTTATTGTAACAGACAAAAACGACAAAAACATATAAGATACTTGAATGCTCCTTCATGTTGGCTTAAGATAAATAATGTTCATTGATCTTTTACCATTTCGATGGCATTTCTAGAACCTTATTGAATACGTTCGAGTTTTCTCGATAGATTTTTTCACTGCTTATCAACCCTTTTTCAGGTTCAGCCATAAAATATTTTTAGCTTGTAAGAATTTGGTGGGGGAATAATAATGATTTAGTTAACCCATAGCTGGAGGGAGAAGAGGTGGATTCAAATCTTTCCCCATAGTATTTGCGCCTAAGTGAATATAACAAATCAGTTTGGAATTTGACCTGGTTTTAAATTCTCAGCCATTAGCCATTACACCACGCACTCACGCAAGCCTCTTTCTTTCTATGTGTCGTGTCCTTTCAGGACGTAGGCGATCATGGTTCTCCACCTCTCTTTATCCCTTGCAGCTATCAAAGTTCCTTCCCTCTGCCACCTCCCCCAGATAACGTTCTGTCATCCACTTGCTAGCTATGTCATGCGTTGTTTACCCTTGTCTCTTTTTCCCTCTATTCGACTCGTGAGTATCAGATTCTCCAGGCCGTCCTTCCTCGTTACGTTTCCCAGGAACTTCAGCTGTCTCTTTCTGATGATAAATATAAGCCTCCTCCTTGTTTGCAGCCTCTCTATGACATCGTCATTGCTCGGTCTATGATGTCCTCAACATCCTTCTGTAGTTTCAACATCTCCGTCTCCTCGTGTCACTTCTTTGACGAAATCATTCAGCATTCGCTGCCGTAAAGAATGACAGATGTCACATAACAGCTCTGTATTCTTTTCTTTGTTACAAAAGAAATCCTCCTGTCTCGCAATACTCTACCCAGTTTTTAGAATGCGTCCTTGGCCACATACAGGCTTATTCACAGTCGTTCACACTTCTAGCTGCTGTCTAGGCTCGACGTTGCTTAATTTTGATGATTGTATGAAAACCGGTTTCTCCACGTGATATAGC